TGGGTTTTCTATGCATAGAATCATGTCATCTGTGAACATAGACAATTTGATTTCCTCTTTACCTATTTGGATGGCCTTTATTTCTTTCTCTTGTCTAATTGCTCTGGAAAGTACTTCCAATAGTATATTAATTAGGAGTCGAGAGAGCAGGCATCTTTGTCTTGTTCCTGATCTTAAGGGGAAAATTTTCACCTTTTTTCCATTCAGAATGATATTGGCAGTGGGTTTATTGCATATGGCTTTAATTATGCTGAGATACCTTCCTTCTATACCTAATTTGTTGAGAGTCTTTATCATGAAGGACTGCTGAATTTTGTCAAGTGCTTTTTCTGCATCTATTGAGATGATCATATGGTTTTTGTTCTTGACTTTGTTGATGTGGTGTATCACATTTATTGACTTGTGCATTTTGAACCATCCTTGCATTCCTGGATGAATCTTCTTGATCACGGTGCATAATCTTTTTGATATAAAGGTCTAAGGCAGACTAACACTGTTTGTTGAAAAGACTGCTCTTTCTCTATTGAATTTCCTGACACCTTGTCAAAAAATTAATTGACTATAAAAGTGAGGGTTTATTTCTAGATTCTTAATTTTATTTAAGTGATATCCATCAATGTCTGTCATTATTGCAGTACCACACTGTTTTGATTACTGCAACATTATAGTAAATTTGAAATTGGAAAGGGTGAGTCTTCTAACTCTCTTCTTTTTCAAGATTGTTTTGGACATTTTTTGAGTCCTTCGAATTTTATATAAATTTTAGGATCATCTTGTCAATGTTTGCAAAGAAGCCAGTTCAGCTGTTAAAAGGGATTTCATTGAATCTGTAGGTCAATTTGCAGTGACACCAGCTTAATATTACATCTTATGATACACAAAAACTAAATGACTTTCCACGTATTTAGGTCTTCTTTAATTTATTTCCATAATGTTTTACAGTTATCAAAATACAAGTTTTGCACTTCTTTTATTAAATTTACTCCTAATTATATTATTCTGTTTATGCTACTTTAAATGAAGTTTTCTTAATTTTAAGTTCAAATTGCTCACTGAAGCTATATAGAAATATAATTAATTTTTGTGTTCCAATCTTGTATTCTACAACCTTGCTGAACACATATTTTAGTTTTATTAGTTTTTGAATGGACTCCTTAGGGTTTTCTACTTACAAGATCATGTCATATGCAAACAGAGATAGTTTTACTGTTCCCTTTTCAACAGGAATGTCCTTTAGTTCATTTTCCTGCCTAATTTCCCTGGCTAGAACCTGCAGTATAATGTTGAATAGAAGTGGTAATAAGGGACATTTTTGTCTTATTCCCAATCTTAGGGTAAAAGAATTCAGTCTCTCACTAAAATATTTGTTTATATTATTATTTTTAGCTCTCTGCTGGTTATCTGTATAACTCTAAATAACACACCTAATAATTTTATTGACTAACTGCTTAAAAGTTGGAGACATTAATGAATTTTCACTTCCTCCCATTTCTCCTTGTTATTGATCATATCCACATTTATGTCTATTCATTTATCTGTACATACCCAATTTTATAGTATTTACCTTTCATTTTATAGTCATTATGTCTTGGACTCTTTGTCTACGTGTTGAAATTTACACCCAGTATAAACAAAATTGACAGCATTATGTTCATATAAATATTATTCAGCACAAAATAAAAAATTGTGATTTGACCTTAAGAGAATAAAGTCTAATTATTAAATACCTACTTAAGGAAAATATCCTTCAAAACCATAAAGGCAAGTGGATACTTTTAAAATATAGTTTGTCTTTTATTATGGATCATAATAATCTGTTATTTCTTATGTTCGATGTTGTCTTTTCTCTTGTATTCCTTTTTCAATTTTCATGTTAAATATTTTAATATGGGGTTGAGTTTAGTTCAAAATGTCTTCCATTGGGTTTTTTAAGGTAGTTCTGAATTGTCTTTTAGCAACATTAATTCCTGATGATGTCAATGTGAGTCTCATTTCTTTTTGTCTATCTCTTTCTGCATATATATTTTTAGTGTTTTATTTTGAAATAATATAAATTCTTTCTTCAAAAGAATGTCAGATGGTTTTACTGGAGAATGCTACTAAACCTTTAAAAAGTAATTAAACCACGGATCTGCATCTCTTACAGGAAAAGAAGTGGAAGGAAGAACTTCTAACTAATTTTATGAAAGTATTATCCTGATACCAAAACCAGACAAACACAGTACATAAAAAGAAGGCCACAGACCAATACCATAGACAATATATCTTAGGAATATAGATGCCAAAATTCTTAACAAAATATTAGCAAAAAGAATTCAGCAATACATAAAAAGAATTATACATGAAGACCATGTTGGTTTTACTCCAGGAATGCAATGATGTGTCAATATTTGAACATCAACCAATGTAATCCACCTTATCAACAAGCTAAAGAAAAAAATTGCCTTATCATAATAATTGATACTGATATAATAATTAACAAAATTCAGCACCCATTCATAACACTCTTAATAAAATAATAGAGCAGAACTTCCCCAGTTTGAAAAAGAACATATACCAAAACAAACAAACACTGATATAATAATTAACAAAATTCAGCACCCATTCATAACACTCTTAATAAAATAATAGAGTAGAACTTCCCCAGTTTGAAAAAGAACATATACCAAAACAAACAAACAAAAACCCTGCTTATACTTGATACCCTACACTCAGAATTAGTTATCCACCATGAAAGGTAGAGAAAGATCTAGAATCAGTAGTATGCTGAAGCAGTCTGCACTGGCTCATAAGATCAGATTAAGCACATATCTTCCCAATTCCATGTTCAATAACATTTCATTCATGGTAGCTTAAAATTGCCCATGGTGGGCTTTTGTTTTTTCTCAGATACTCAGTTGTTAAATATTTACAAGCACTGAACAACTCAATATTGTCTACCACCCCAGTGAAATGGACTTGAAATATAAATTTGAGTTTAAAAAATCATGTTTTAATTTCTTGGACATTTGAGTTGAGACAAATCCTCTGCACTTTAATTCATATGGATTATGACACCTAAATGAGACTCCAAGAGGTAGAATGTTAGTTCACAGTCTTTCAATACTACATGCCAAAGTTATCGGACCTTAGATTGTAAGAGAGAAAAAATGTTAAGTGAAAATTTTACATAATGCTCAGCTGATTTTAAGGATCATTCTAAATGACAATCTGACTATGAGATTGGTGCTCAGACAGAATCTCTCTTTATCCATTCAACATTTATTCAACAAATATTTATTGGGTGCTTAATATACAGCTGAAACAGTTCTGTTTATGTTGGACAGAGAAAAGAAAAAGGTAAACAAATAAATTAATTTCATAAAGGCTACAATGAAAATAACATCGGGTGATGTGAAAGACAATGACTTGAGAATGCTCTCTAATGGGTGGTAATCAAAGACATCTCAAAAGGTTTATCAATACTTAAGTTGAGAGTTGAATGATTAGTAAAAGATAAGCATGCTGAAAATTCAGGGCAAGTACATAAAGATGAGATACATAAAGATGCAGTCAGATTTTACTAATCAGTATATGAAAAGATGTAGTATGACTTTCTGAGAAAATAGTCCCTCAATATTATAAAGTAAAAATTGTAGAAATTGACTTTGTTAATTATTCTTCTACTCTTCAGCTTTCCAGTGAGCATATAATGTTTTCTTATTAACACACTACAGTTACTCCAAAGGTTTTTAATTCCATATTTTGTCCTGGATTATATTTCTCTTTTATTTGGGAAAGGAGATTGATTGATTGATTTGATTTATCATTATACAATATAATCGATTTTTGTGGCCTTTTACCAATTGGGGAAAGCAGTTTTGAATGCATGCTGAAAGTTATAAGACAAAGATAATTTGTCTTGAACTTACTATGTTCACACCATAACTTTTTAACAGATGTTCTGTAAGTCGATTGTGGTTTAGGCTACTAGCCACTGTATTCTCAACTATTTATAACAGAATATGTAATTAGTAAAAATGGATACAATCATTGAACTGATTCTTCAAAGTAAATTTTCCCTTTACCTATTTTCACAAACTATCGAACAGATGAAAACTTCAGCTGAAGATCTGACATTTAAACATGGAGCTTCTTGAAAAAGAAAGCAGAAATGCTTCCAATAGCATATAGGGACCCAGGTTAGTTAGAATCTGTGTTTATGTAACTCAGACATTAATATCTGTGATACAGGTGATTAAAAAATGCTTAGAAACTTAACAAAAATCCATTGTACTTTTGAGTTGAGATGAAGTAAGAATAAGAAATTTAGAAGCAAAGTTATCACAATATCCATTTGCATCTATACGTGACTCTTGTTGTGCTATCTTCTGTGGAATTTAGGGGGGAATTATTCTTCTTTATTAATGTCATTTAACATTAATTCCCCAATAATTACAAGATATATATTCAATTTACTTCCCAGTTTACTTGAAACCACCATCTTCCAATTTTTTTGATATTTGCAAAATTAAAACTAAAATGAACCTTTCTTATAAGCAAAGGACCACCTAAGTAGTCCTGTATTTCACGTTCAAACTAAAACTGAGCAAGAACACTCCTAAAGAAACCATCTCTTTCGGGCAGCCCGGTGGCGCACTGCTACAGTGCGCCGCTTGGGAAGCGCGGCGGCCCTCCTGCCGATGGTTCGGATCCCACATGCGGACCGGCCGCTCGCTGGCTGAGCGGGGAGCGGGAGCAACGCTGAGGGTTGCGATCCCGTTGCCGGTCCCGGTCCAGTGCGGGCGCGACACTGAGGGTTGCGATCCATTGCCGGTCACGAAAAAAGAAAAAAAGAAAAAAAAAAAAAAAAAAGAAAAGAAACCATCTCTTTGAGATGCAAACACACACAGAGGACTTTCTGGTTAATATAGTCTTCATTTCCACTTGCAGAAGATCTCCCAGATTTGTTTCTGGCAGAGAGAGTAATTCTTTACCTTCAATACTGAGAAAGAACTCACCTGATCACATAAGAGGCTACTGTTTCTAGTGCCTACTTTATCACAATCACAGGGTTTGCAAACATCCATGGCTGAAGGATCTGTACCAACTTGTTGGAAAAAGTATTCCTTGCACAGCTCACAGTTCCTTCCTGCACCAGGGAAAGGTTATGCATTATGACTTCCAATTCATTAAAATCAGCTGCATAATTCAAAATTAAAGACTGTATTCCTTTGAGGGAATTCTATAATTTTCGGGATGTCCATTTTAATGCACCTTTCATCTCTACCTGCCAATTTAGTGATCCAGAGCATATGAAACAATGAACCTGTTACAAACTGCGCTTTACTTCATTAAACTCCCATCTGTTATCTAAAACCACACTTCTAAAAAGCTGTGCCTTGCAGGGGCCCAAAACGTTTTGAAAGAGTTTGTTTCTATGCTTAAAACTTTATTTCTAGGGCCAGGTGCTTAATCTAAGTTGAATATGAGAAATTTCCACATATGTGGTAGATGATGCTAACATACTTGGAAGCAACTGGGTATGCAGTATTAGAAATATTTTTCCACAACTAGATCTTATAAAATAGGAGACTGCTGTTAATAAATTGATTATTCTATAGTTAACATGATTAAAAACCAGTGCTTCTGTTAGTCGCCATTATTTTTCACTTCAAATATCAAAATAGAAAATCATTACATTTAAATATACCAAATAAGTTTTATATTAAATATTAGAATAGCCTAACACATTAGATATATCAGATAATTACCATAGTTCACAATTTATTAATTGGAATTTTTCCCTTGCCATTTTATATAAGAGAAAAACCTAAACTGCAAGGAGTTTTTAAAGTGAATGTGAGTAGCATATAAGACCACAGAAATAAGCTGAAATGTAACTCAAGGTTATCAATCCCCCCTTTAAACATTATGCACTCTGCTCAAATATTGCTGAAGTTGGCCCATCATTAGAAGACTAAGGCAATAATCAAGTGAACACTCACATTCTGATGGATATTGGCTATGGACTAATTAAAAATTAAGTAGATTTATAATATTTCCAGAATATTTCCATTTACATATGCTGATGACTCCCAAATCTCTATATATAATCTAGAAATCTCTCCTTTATTTATCATTCAATGAATATTTATTGCGTGATTACCATGTTCCAAATGCTGTGCCAAGTGCTGAGGAATACAGTAGTGAGCAAAATGCACATGCATGTTGCATCTCTCTCACAGTGCTTTCTTATAGTCTAGCAGGTGAGATGAATCTTAATCAAATAATAATAGGAACAAATACACATTTACAAACTGTGGTAAGCCTAAGTCACCACTAAAGTGTATAGATGATTCTGATAGTTTTTGAGGCATCATGAAAAGCTTTCTTTGAAGAAAGAAGCTTCAGAACTGTGTTTCCCACAGCCCACGGTAGAGTTTCTCCTACATCGCTTGGAAATACACAGCGAACATGTCAAAATAGGATTTGCCATCTTCTTCTTTAGCTTGATCCTTCCGTGTTGCTCAAGCTGGAATGTTAGGTATCAGTCCTGACTCTTCTTTCTTCCTTTCCCTACACCTTGCCCACAAAATGATGCCCTTGTCATCCTAAATATCTCTTGGGTCCACTTCTCTCTCTCCACATCCCCTTCAATATATTTTACATTATTTCTCAGCTGGAGAAATAGCAACACTCTCCTAACTGGTTTTCCCAAACCACCCTTGATCCTCTCCAATCCATTCTCCACTTTACAACCAGATGGATCTTTTAAGAACACAAAACTGATATGTCCCTTTTCCGTATAAAACCCTTAAGTGGCATCTCATTGACCTTAGGATAAGAGCCAAACTCTTTATCACGGCTTACAGAGCCCTCTGCAATCTGCCCCCTGCCTTTCTCTTTCCTAGTGTTTTTCTTACCACCAGCCATTGCCCCTCCACCAGTTCTTCAAAGATACCATGTTTCTCTCTCCTCCAGGTCACCACAAAATGTGTTTTCCTTAGTGGAACACTTAGTTCACCCCCTAATTCTGCTCCCTCTTACTCCTTCACCTGGATAAGTCTTACTGTACTTTCCCTGTCTT